GTGTATCAACATATTTATTTCAGCATACATCCAATCCATATTTATACTTATTTTATAAAATACATTTTGTCTTAACTTGGCGTTAGATTATTAGTTTTATTTCATTAATTTTTGTATAGATCAGGTTAATAATAAAAGCAATTGGATTTTACTCAACATTTTTGAAGTAATTATTCAGCTTTAATAAAATTGATAAAATCATAAAAGACAGTTAAAAAATATATTTAACCTTTGTTTACTTTTTGAAAATCCGTAAAAAAGCAAATATCAAATTTACTTATCTTTAAAAGAAATTTATTTACCTGATATATAGTTAAATATGTAACAAAAATATTTTTAAACAGAAGCATATATAAAGCACATGTTTCTTAAAAAAAACAAAGTTGAAGCCACCATTTACAGCACCGAGGAGCCAAGCATAGCCTATTGTAAAGAAAACCATATCAAATAATTTAAAATATTTATTATCGATAGGGACTACAGTTAAACATATTTAAAAAGTTACGTGATTTCATATTAGTAGAATTGTTATAGAAAAGTATATTAAAAAAGTATATTAAAAAAAAGTGTATTAAATAGAAAACAGATTTTTCTATTTAATACACTATTAAATAGAAAAATCTGTTTTCTATTTAATACACTTTTTTTTTAAAACTACCTAATTTTGTAAGCATTTTACCAATGATGTTCAACTTTGAAACCAATATCTTTAATGAAAAGCCGACTTGTTTCACTAAAATCATTCAAAGAATAATATTATTAACACTTAAATATAAAGAAAAAAAAAATGAATGAGATATAAACAATCGTACTATAGTATTATATAAATAAGTAGATATATATGAAAAAAAAACAACTGTAAAACAGTATACCTGCTTTTGGTAACCTATTGTGATACTGCAGCAGTTGCTGTAGGGATGCAGCTGTTCTTTTTGGTGTTGTTCAAAACGTAATTTTTATGTTGGCTTTTAGTAAACTTTATTTTAATTTAAAAGACATCACAACGGATTTAAAATATTCATAATAAAAAGAGCAAAACATAAAATGCTTTAAGGAGCCAAACTCTAAACATAAATAATAAAGAATGGAATCGAAATAAATAAATTGTATTTATATAGCTAAATATATTGCCTTGGGTTTTGGTAAATTTTAAAAGCAGTACCAAATAATTGTTTTTAACAAAAGAATGCAGCATCATTATATTATGATGATTGGATAACGAATCAATTCAACTTTCGACTTTAGAATTTAGAGAGGGGTATTTAAGAGGGCTTTAAATTTGAAGTCAGGTTTTATTGGTGAGAAAACAATTAAAAATTTTATTAAAAAAGATTAAAACAAATTAAATATACAACGTAATATATATTTAAAAAAAAAATTACAAAATTATAATAAAAAAAATACCGAAACAAAAAATTACAAAATTAAAAAAAAAAAAAAAAAAACGAAGAAAAAGCAGCAACTAAAAACTCATAAATAACTCTACTGATAGAAGACATTTACAACCTTTTGGTTGCTGTTTTTTCTTCAGTGTCTCCCAACACCCCGGTATGGATGAGCCCTCTATTTAAAGAAGGGCTCATCCATACTGCTATTACGTTTCCATTTATTGAAGGACCTCTCTGAGAGAGGTCCCGGGTGTTGCGAGCGATAATTTTGGTAATTAGTAAGGGTTAAACATGCAATATTTTGTATTTTAATAAACATATAGGGCAATAATGCAATCAGTTCAAAAGTGTCATATTTATTTATTAATTTTTTCACCTATTGCATATATTTCTCCATACAAATGATATAAAATATAAAACACAATCCTACCAGCTATACTTCCATCTGACACTAAAGAAAAATATATACTTAAATAAATATATAATAATCAATAAATAAATAGTAACATATAAATAAATACATATCTAAATAATTGTTTTACCCATCCCCCTCATTTCATCCATAAAGTTGTCTAAAGTAAGAAAAAAAGAACTAAAGCTAAAAACAAAACTATAAACTAAAACAAAACTATAAACTAAAGTAAACTTTAAATCTTCTAAATTTTAATGCTTTATTTATTACACTAAACTAATCATAATTTATACTTAGTTTTTGTTCCAACTCCCCTAAAAGAAAGTATATAAAAAAAGTTAAAGCACTTGATTTTTTAAAATTCCAGTGGCAGTACAAATAAACAAATTTCTATTAACAAATATCTAAAAGCAAAAACACTGACTTATTTCCTTCTTCACTTCTGTATTTAAACAATAAAAGCACTTTAATGTTTAGAAGTTAAAATATCGATAAAATATATATTAAATGCTACATTTAACTAATCTAATTAATACGTTTATTAGATCTCTCTTGATTAACTTAAGAATTTAAATTTTAAATAAACTCTAACTAAATTTTAACAAACAACCAAAATAAATCTTTACTTTAATAGTACGTTATTAAGTTGATTAATAGATCAAACAATTTAATCTACTCTAATAATCTACTACCTTATTCAGTGTAACTATTATATGAATATTTTTAAAGTAAGAAAGAATTTAATATTATAATATCTATGATTTTAAAAACCTGAAATTTTAAATCTACCTCGAAGAAAACAGATACATATTAAAAAGTATTTTTATTTCTTTTTAAAAATTTAAAATTGCTTTACAACTTACTTGTTCCAATATTAACAACAACGTCTAAATAGAAAAACAAACAAACATTTAAGTCGACTCATTCTTAAATCTTATAATATATATGATTTTAAAAACCTGAAACTTTAAATCTACCTCAAAGAAAACAGATATATATTGAAAAGTATTTTTATTTCTTTTTAAAAATTTAAAAATGCTTTTTAACTTACTTGCTTCAATATTGTCATCATCTAAATAGAAAAACAAACAAACATTTAAGTCGACTCATACTTAAATCTAGTTTAATTTCTTCAATATTAAAAAAAATTTAATTTTTGATGTTAAATTCATTTACAAAAGTTCGTTTAAGTTCGTTTAAACCATTTTAATATTGTAAAGTTAATTTAAGTTAACAAACATATTAATGCAATTTATAACATTTGAAAGAAAACTTACTTCTTAGTAATTCAGCAACTAAAAATAAACATATATTTAAGAACTAACAACATAACATTATACATCTGTAACATAATACACATCTAAATAAATACAAACCTTCATCTTCAATCTGATTCATTCTATTAATTCGATATAAAAAATAAAAACAAATATGCTTAAAAACAAATTTAATAAAAGTATTAGACATGTTAAAACATAAAAAATTAAAACGATTGAATTGATTATACTGAATATGACCTACTTGATAGGTACGATTAGATGTAAAAAAAATTTATAACGAAAACGCGCTTTTTAAAGTAAGTCTGGAAATTCCAATCTCAAAATTCCAGAACAGAAGAAAAACTGCGCACAAACCAAACTGCGCAACACTTAGCGCAGTAACTAAAGTAAAAGAACATTTAATTTAGCTATGCAAATTACATCACGCATGTTTAATTAAGTACGCTATGATTATCAACTTTAAAAAGTGGCTAAAATTTAAACTCATTACGCAACTAATCATTTTATTTACTAATAAGTACAATAAACATATCTGTACATATAGATAATTTTAAGAGCTAACTTGTCTTAATTCCATTTTTGTGTAAATGAGTTTAATACACACTTGTCGCATATTCTGTCGGGGCCAAATAGCCTTCTAATTTTTATTTACTGCGGTTTAACAGGAAACAAAAATCAATCTAGTCTTAAATCCATTTTATTAGCTAAAAAATGATAAAAGAGCATTACTATACTATCACATTTATACTTGTATATATCACATTTTGCTACTAAACATGTTTTAAATTGACTTTTGAGGTTGTTAACGTGACATAATCTCATGATTGCAAACAAAGCTACCGGACCCGGTCATGTTAAGCCTTCTAAACTCTGATTATTTCTATATTGAATAGATGGCCTCTTTATTTCAATAATTTTTTGCAAACGGTAAAGTAATTTGCTGCCATTTACTAAATATTCCTTTTATTACTCGAATTTTCGGTTTCGTCAATATTTTGACATCTCCGCTAATTAAGAGCCACTCCCCTTTTTTTGTTTTAATGGTAGCCATGTGAGTAGAGTTTTTTTTATTAAGAGTAATCTATTTATGATGAAGACCTTTTACCAAAATAATAAAGCGTAAAGCAACGATTTACATATATAAGAATTTTTTCTTTCCTCAAAGGTGTTGCAATTGCAGACTAAACAATCAACTTAATATTTGACAAACTGCAAGTCTCCCTGTGTTTTTAACAACAAATTATTAAAGCAAAAGATAGGGAAAACATGGGAAAAAAATATATATATTAATGTCTTTATATCTTTTTAACAAACGAACAAAATTTTACAAATTTAGGAAATCAAGTTTTTTTTTTTAATATGGTATTAATACGTCATATGGTAAAATCTAAAATAAAAAAAAGTAACGGAATTATAACATCATATATAAATATATATATATATATATATATATATATATATATATATATATATATATATATATATATATATATATATATATATATATATATATATATATATATATATATATATATATATATATATATATATATATATATATATATATATATATATATATGTATATATATATATATAGGTACCTTCATAAAAAATTTAAACTTTTATTTTTTAAACCAAATTAATTCTATTATATAGAGATTATTAAATGACAAATTTTTATACCAAATTTATTATCTGGGGTCAACTATAAAAAAAGATATTCAATTTTGAAGGTAGAGAAAATAAAGTGGACATCTTAACAAAGATACACAAGAAAATGACTACAAAAAATGGACTTTATAACGTAGTTCATAAAATATTAACAATTTACTGTCACATATATGATAAAAACTGTTTATTATATCCCACTTATATAAATTAAATTGAAAAAAAAAAAAAAAAAGAGAGAGGGGGGGGGTGTTTAAGCCCAATTTAAAAGGGGGTCAAATTCGATTCTAGTCATTTTATTAAAAAAAATTACCATAACTAATCTAAATTTAAGTTTGTTCATGCTTAAATCTAATGAGAATGTGAAAAAAAATTGTATAAAAAATTGAAGTGATTAGAGCCTGGGAACAAAAATACCCCAAAAAGTTTGTGCCCCACATAAAAATGTGAGGGGACCAAGTTATTAAAATACATTTACTTATTATTTTATACTACATTTAAATCTATCAACAGACCCAATAATTCTTGATATGTTTAAAGTTATTTTTTTAAGTTATTTCACATGGTCATAACCTTTGAGCATTAAAAAATGTGAATTTAAATTTAGTTTTGAATAATAAACTTAAAAACTTATTTACTCATTAAATTAACATTTGAGACAGGGGGGTTCTATCTTTTTTAGATTTGTTCCTAAGTTTTATTTACCACAATTTTTTAGCAAATCATTCTTATTTGACACATGATTGAACATACTTATACTTAGAGTTTTCACAATGCCAAGTACAGTATCTGAAATGTAAAATAACCCTGTGCCTGCTCTTGGTTAATACAAAAATATTTAAAAACTAAAAGGAATAAATAAAAATGTATACAAAATAATCAACTTAAACAAAATAAAAGATAATAATGCCTAATATATTATAGTGATTTTTAAATGAACTCCAAGTCTTTAAGTATTAGATCTGCTATAACTCCTTCCTGGCTTATGTCAATATCTTCAGCTTCATCTTCATTGACTTTCCAATATCCTATTGTGTATGTAAAAGATTTTTTTTTTGTTGCTACCTTCTGATCAACAATTCTACCAAAAAATAAATGTATATTACCATCATCTAGCTCCCATTTATGGCTTAAGAGCTGCTATATCAAGTTTCCATTTTTCAAAATTACTCCTAAAATTCGTTTTTGTTTTTCATCAATATTAACAAAAAGAGGATTTGTGGTTTTGGCATTTTCAGCTATTGCTCTTTTAATATCCTTCTCTAGTCGCTTTCTTTCCAGACGCTCTTTTTTTAAATTAGCTTTGGCGCATCTTTTTCCTATTTCTTCATACAAAAGATTATTAAAATTTTTAGAGGCTTGACACGTTAAAGCTCCTCTGCGAATTACAAATTGAATAAGATCTTCTTGTTCTGGCAATGTTTTCTCATCAAGCCATGTTAATGTTTTGTTTACCCTGGCTTTTATTTTAGAATCCAGAAAACCAAAAGTAGCATTAGGAGCACGACGCAAAAAAAAATCAAGCATCCCTAAGATCCTTTCAGCCTCCATTGTATGAGGTGGAGCAGATAGTGTGGTTTTTATCATTTCTTTAGATGGATTTGAGAGATTGCCAGTCAAATACCTGGCCATCTGTCTTTTGAGAACTGTCTCTGTGTAGCTTATTAAAGCTGATAAAATCTTTACCAAAATATTTTTATTTTTTATTACACGAAGGGATTGGTGTACCTTATCTTTTTTGATATTTAATACTTGACTAAAAATATCCACATCTGTAAAAAGAATTGATTCTGGATTACTTTTGAAGTAAGCTAATTTCCTTATTGCTTTCTGTAAAATGTCACCCTATTAAAAAAATAATTTTTGTACATTTTTTAAACTACTTTATTTGTTTATTAGAAAACCTTAAAAACTTACAAACTCAAGATTACTCTTTCCTGTTGCATTTTTATAAACCAGACTCATCCATGGCCCAGTTATTATTTTTCCTATCAGGCCCAACCCTTGCAGTTGCACAAGCGTTATATCATTACTCATATCTTGAAGTAAGAGTTGGCAAATTTTATTTTTGGTGTTGCTAGAATAACGAGAAAATGTTAATACATAGAATTCTATTAAAACAAATATTCATCTAAAAAAAACTTACTTTTCAAGAAAGGTTTTTATAAGTCTTTCGTATGTAACAACAATCCCTGCCATATGGAACAAAACATGAAATCTACTACCAACGTATCTAAGGAATAGCCCTGGAGCAACATTGTTTTTTTTAAGATAGCTTTTGAATGCTGCAGGATCGCCTTTAAAACTATACCTGATTTTTAAAGAGCAAAAAAATTCAAATTTCAAATTTTCAAAACGTAGAAATAATAAAGAAATAATTGCTCACAAGAAAATAAAACTAAAAAAAAATTTAAATAATGAAAGATATACATATAAAAGATTACCTTAGCTTAGAAATATTTGTGAGGACTGTTACTGCAACCCCATCAGTTCCTTTAGCTGGTTTTATATTCAACTCATTATCTATTGTTTTAAGAGCTAATAATGCTTTTAAGGCAATAGTTTCCAATGGATGAACATTGCAGTACAGTTGCATTAATTGAACGTCCATCTCTTCCTGAAGCATGTTTTTCACAACTATTAACAGGTGCTCTGTCTGACAGACAACTTTTGATTTTTTGAGTGAAAACATCTAAAACTTCTACTGCTGGCATATTTTTAAACTCTGCAAATGTATTGGCAAGTTCTTTTATTACACTGACAATATGAGTGGCACAGTCAAATCCTGTGCCTCCAGCAAGTTTAGCGGTTGATAAGGAATAACATCTCTGCGGAGGATAGGTACTGATAAGGAACTCATTTACATGTTTGTCTAAAACGGTGGTTGCATCAAACACTACTGTTGCACATTCACAATGAAAAAGTGCCTCACCAGCCTGAACCAATGCTAAAACACCTGGCTCATATGCCATTCGATTTACTGTGGATGAGTGAGGTGTTTCTTGCATTTCTGTGATGTATAACAGTTCAGAAATTTTTTCTAACAAAAATGAGACACTTTCCACAGGCACATTGTTAATAATAGCAGCAGAAACACATTTTCTTATGGGTAGGTCATATATTTTTAAATTTTTGGTTTCTATAAGTAACCTATTATCTTTTTTTTTTCTAAAACAATACTAGTTAAATAATGATTTTGTTCTACAAGTTGTTTATTTTCTTGCTTTTTGATTTTTATCTGTTCCTGTAATTCTTTGATCGCAATTTTGTGTTTCTTTTCTATCCTTTCAACGTTTTGTTGCAACTTCGTTCTACTAATTTTAAGAATTCTCAATTCATTAATGAAATCTAGAGAATGAAACTTATTCTGTTGAACTGTTTTTTTTTTTTTCCTTTGAATATTTCAATTTCCACAAATTTAGTGAAAAATACTGTCTTTCAAATTTTTTGTTTGTAAGCTTGTTACAGGTCATTGATTTTTTCAAAAAACGAACTCTCTGCTGCAATTTTCTGTTTTTTTCTTGTAAACTACGTATTTCATCTTTATTTATTTTGCATGAACCACACTTTACTCTCTGCATTGTGTCTGAAGCAATATTTAAATCACTTGCAACGTTTAAGTGAATAATTGTATTAGAACTATTTCTTTTTCTTTCATATTTAAATGGTTGCTGCAAAAAATTAACAATAGCAGCCCATGACTGGGCAGGGTTTTTTTTAAAGATTTTTATCTTTTTATGCAAGTATCTTATATTGTTGGAGAATACTTTAAAATCAGATGCATTTTTAGGTCCAATGTTCAGTTTTTTTAATTTCAGACAAGTTTTTGATAATTTGAAATTATTTTCAGAAAAAATTTTGTAAATGTCACCATTAAACAAAGGCTTCGATTGGCATTTATATGAATTAATTAAAACGCAAATATCTTTTGCAGTCTTGTGGTCCATCTAAAGTAAAGAAAAATACAAAGCAACAATGAAAATAATTTTAAAAAATGGCGCTATAACCAATACATTATTTTGCGGTAGCAACTGTATGCATCTTTTTTAAACATGAAGGAGATTTTAAAGTATCGGTTATTATATATCAAATGAAAGATCTATGAAGAATTTATTTGAGCATGTCAAAATCATTTATGAGCATTTGTATTGGTATATTAAATTCTTTATATGAAAATTACCTATTTTGGCAGGATTCCTTAACAGTGAAAAAATCGCAATTTTTTGAAAATTGTATAACTATAAACAAGTTTAACCTTCACTTTAAACAAAAAAATATAACAAAAATTGACACTTTATTTTTTAGCTAGCTTTTAAACACTCTTTCCTTTATGCATATAGCGTAGTTTGGAAAAACACGGAAATTCAGAAACTTTATAAAAGCGATGTCAAAATAAAAAAACGGACGCATACGAGGGTACCTATATATATATATATATATATATATATATATATATATATACATATATATATATATATATATATATATATATATATATATATATATATATATATATATATATATATATATATATATATATATATATATATATATATATATATATATATATATATATATATATATATATATATATATATATATATATATATATATATATATATATATATATATAAAATATATATAATAATTTAAAGTTTAAACCCTACGAAATTATATGTAAACGCAAAGTTTGTTTTGATTGTTACAAACACTGCCTCGCTTTGAAGAATCTCCTTTCTCCGTCGCAGATATTTATGAAAAGGTCTATTATGTTTACGCATTAGCATTAATGTTTTTTTCCATTATCAAATGCCTTTCATTGTTGTTAGTATATTTTTTATTTTGTGATCGGTTTTTTGTTTTATAAGTTTTTGTCTGATGATGTATATCTTCGTTCATATTGGTGTTTATAATACAATTTTTTAAATTATTTTTATTTTCTATTTTTCATTATTTATTATTTTTTTATTTTTCTTTTATTTTATTTTATTTTTCTTGTTATTATTGTTGAGTACTGTTTTGGGTATATAGCCTGTCTTATTTATTTTTAAATATTCCTCTATTAATCTTTATTTTTGTCTTGACAACTGTCAAAATATGCTTTGTCTAATTAATAATTCTCCTTTATTCTAATGTACTTTATTTCTTCCCTCAGGCGTTCACTGCTCGTGTGTGACCATTTGGCGAATTTATATGCCAAAGTTTTTAAATAATATAACTGGTTTATTTTTAAAAGAATAAGAGTATTTTGTAGTATATTACGGAATTTAATTGTAACAAAAATGGAAAATTAATACAAAAAAAAAAAAAAAAGAAAAAATCCCCCCAGAAAATATTACCCCCAAAAAAAACATTTTTTTTTACTTAAAAATTATCTAATTAATTAAAAATAATAAAAATGTTTATTTCTTTATTTATTTTAAATATTTATATAAAATACTTCATTTTTCATTAAAATGTTATGCTATGCGCTATTCCTCAAAAGTAGTGAACGTGAAACCCTAACCTTAACCCTAACCCTGACGAACTGTGAACTGGTAAAATGTAAACTCTTTTGCGATTCATCGTAGTTAATTTAGCGGTATATTTTAAAGACTTTTGAGCGAAAAAATTATTAAAAAAATAAAAAGAAATTAAGTGAAACTAGACGAATACAATACGAAAACATGTATATATTTTTTTAATTATTTGATGAACTGCCGGCCCAAACCAAACCCTCAGTCGATGTATCAGCACATCGTTGCAAGTCAGGCTATTTGTCAGTCGATGTAGCAGCACTCTGTTGCGAGTCAGGCTATATGATAGTCGATGTAGCAACACTCCGCGCATGGTTTACAGTTAAAAAATAAATTTTTTATTTAAAACAAAGCTTTAAAATAAATAATTAAGAATTGGAGAGTTTTTTTTATTATTATTTTTATCATAAAAATAATGGTCTTTAAAAGAACATGTTTTGTTTTGCAAAAAAGTTCGCATTTTACCAGTTCGCAGCTTGCGGTGCGCAGCTCGCATTTTACCGACATTTTGATGAAAAATGAAGTATTTTATATAAATATATAAAATATAAAGAAATAAACATAAGTACATATTGATAATTTTTAAGTAAAAAATAAACTTTTTTTTTTTTTTTTGGGGGGGGGGGGGATTTTTTTCGAGGGGATTATTTCTTGGAAGGATTTTTTCCGGGGGGATTTTTCCCTGCCAACAAAACATTGTACATTTTGTATTAAATTGATTTCCTTTGTCTTAGTTCACATCAATAAACTTTCAAAGTAAATAGAAAATTTTTAATAATATTTAGAAATTTATGTGGTTTTGGTCAATTACTGAGACATTAAAAATGCACTTTAGAATTATTTTTCTTAAATTAATAATGTACTTTAAAACTATAAACTCATAAAATCAAAATAAAAAACAACTTTTATCTTTTCATTAACAACATGAAAACAAATTTACTTTGGTCTTTCATGCCTATACTAAAAAATATCAAAATATGGAAAAGGCACCTATAGGAACAATTTTTTAATTTTTCATTAAAGTTAAAATATACTATTTCTGTGATGAATTTTTTTTTTTTTAAATAGCAAAAACTGCAGTACCAACTTTTTCAAGAAATTTTTTATTTTTAACAGTCTATACTATAACTTTTCCAATGATGTGTATTAGGGTGGAGTGAAAACAACTTTTTTTAGAAATTCATATTTTTTCCCTGATTTCTATAATAATTGTATATATTATATATATATTATATTTATATATAATTGTATATATTATATATATATATATATTATATATATAATTGTATATATAATATATATATATATATATATATATATATATATATATATATATATATATATATATATATATATATATATATATATATATATATATATATATATATATATATATATATATATTATAATTATTATAGAAATCCGATAATTATTATAGAAATCAGGGAAAAAGTATGAATTTCTAAAAAAAAGTTGTTTTCACTCCACCCCAATGTGTATATTCTCAATTTTTCAATGATCTATATATTAGAAAAAAAATGATAATTATTAAAATCCAGCATCTTAAGAATTTTTATCGAAGTTTCATTAAAAACCTAACTTTAAGAAGCCACTACCACTGAGCCTGTCATATTTAGAATTTCATAAATTGGGAAATTCTTAGTGAGGTTATTAGTAACAAAACCCACTATACGACATAATGATTGAACTATGTCACTTTTTTGATTTTTGG